ATAGCCCGCACCCATCGCCCTCTTCCTCTTCTGATGTAGAACTGCCAATGATGATGGCCATTGGTGCAGCCGGGACGGGCAGGTTTCCCTGCATAGCCGGCGTCTGAGCGTCGCTCGGCTGTCCCGGGGCAGGCGGCACGGTTGTCGACTCAGGCTCGTTGCCGAGCACAGGCTGCCCAGCGATATTGCGCATGGCAATATGATTTGGCCATAGTCCCGCCGCCTGGAGACCCCATCCTGGCGGAGGAAGAGCCTGGCCGCGCATGGCGATGGCCCTTTCAAGGGCCTCACGCCATCTCCCTCGGGAGTACCACACATGCCTCTGCACGTCGTCAGGGTGCACGCTGTCGATAAGAGTCAAGGCTGCCAACACTAACTCCGAGTCGTCGCAAGCGCCAGCGTCATGCAGCATCATGTTACCAGCCTCGATGCTTTCTTGACTCTCAGGATATGATATGGTTGATATCTCGTGCATCCTCATGAGGGTTTGCAGTAGTGTGCGTGGCCCGTACTCGCCTGGCGCAAGCGAACCAGGGGGTATATATGGGTTCCCTGGTGCGCCCGCAACAAATGCTTGAGACTCCATAAATTCAGCGTAGTTTCGGGGATAGGTTGGCCCGTTTCCAGGCGGGAGGTCGGGTGGAGGTTGGAGGTCACGGTTAACCTCTGAAGGCGAGGTCTCTACAGTGACGTCCTCGTCACTGCTCTCGTAGGCCATGATGTTGCCTGGGTTCCCGAACATCCAGTCGAAGAAAGGTAAAGGCTGGTTTTCCCAGCGTCCCGCGTTCCACGGAAGTGAGCTCGTTGTTGCCAACAACGAACCTGCGGACGTACTCGAGGTAGTACGCGTACAATCCATGACAATACGCCTCGAGCTCGTCGACGTTGTCCATGCAACTAACCCAAGTGCAATATATCTGTTCCATGGCCTCAAAATCCTGGAGGCTCAGATATTCGATGAATGGTTCACTTGAGCCAAAATGGCCTTCGGTCGATCTGCCCTTGCCATTTCCCTTCGCTGGACAATCTCTCACAAGATGGTCGGTACTATCACACTCATGGCACTCTAGGACCTGGCCGTCTCTACCTCGCGGGTTCCCCCGCCTACCTTTGCCTTTTCCTGAGGTCTCTCTACGGCCTTTGCCACGGCCTTTTCCCCCGAAGAATATCTCATCATACTGTTCATCTGAGAGCCTCTGGAGGAAGGCCGTGTTGCCTCGTCCATTCAACCTCCGACGGCCCCGTTTGCCTTTACCTTTTCCCTTGAAACTCCTACGTATCCTCCTCCTAACACGACGCACTGGTTTTCGCGTGAACTTCCTCCACCTCCGTTTAGCCTGTGGTAATAAGCAAAACAAGTGTTCAGCACGCTGATTGTCATTTTCCATATTCATAGTATCTGACCAATCTAAAGCTTCAACACCGTCTGATGATACAGTATCTGCGTCGGCGCCGGAGTCGAAGTCATCGTCTCCCAAGTAGGTGGACACACCCCATAAAGATCGGTGTGGTTGAGGTTCTCTGGAAGGAGGGCTGGCTGCCCAGCTTGGTTGTGATCGATCCCCTGCTAATAGAGCAGTGGATTATCCAGGATCATCGGCCCATATGCTTGAGGGCCCGTTTCCAGGCTGGGCTTCAGTGGTTAAGGTAGCGTAGAAATTCCCACTACCAGATCCCCTCCCCCTTCCAAACACAGATCCTATATTACCAGGAGACCGTTCTGATAGGTGGCCTATCGAACGCATCCTCTCCAGCAACTCATCATACTGTTGTTGTGTTCGGGGCATTTGATGATTGAGTGGCTGTAAGAGTTGCATGGCTCGCTGGTTGCCGACGCCTAAGGCGCGGAACAGGATCGTGGTTAGTAATTGGAAGTTGGGAAGGTCAAATCCCACCGACTGTGGAGCCCGACACGTGGGAACCCTACAGTTTCGGCAATTTCTTGGTGCTCGCAATCCTTTCTCATGGTCAAGGCTAAAGTAGGTTGGAACATCATAAGACTCGCGCCCTGCGCAGTCAGAGTGGCCCCAATCAAGGGGAGGGCGGCGAGCTACGCCCAGAACGCTCGAGCGACGAAAAAAAGCAGGCCTTACGCGACACGGCACAGCGGCCTTACGCCTAGGTCGGGTATGTCCCCCTACAGGCGGATGTTGGACAAACATACCGCCAAAATACTCAACATACATTCAAGAATAATCAAAACATCGTCCACATACGATGTTTTCAATATTTGTTGAACATCTCTCCTGTGGAGGGTCACGCCCGACTTACTCTTACTGCCAGCCAGTGAGTGCTTGCTATCGCCATCGCCATCGACAAATATTCAGAAGTAGCCAAAAACAATGCTCCACAAATCGTCCCATGACTATTTGTTTACCTATTTGGGGACATTCCTTCTGTAGAGGGACAGGACCGACGTACCGATAAGAGGAGGGAGCACGGACAGGTCGCGGCCGCGGACAGAAGGAACAGGCCACGAACACTCACAGCACGATGGACATCGAACCGTGCGCGCCCAGAACACTCGAGCGACGAAGAAATGCGGGCCTTACGCGGCACGACGCAGCGGCCTTACGCGGTGGCTTACGCGGGCCGCCGGCGTGGCACGCCATGTTGGAAACGAGGGCGCCGACGCGCGACCTTACGCGGGCAGCTTGCGCGCCCGCGTCGGTGAAGACGACCCCGTTGTCTTCCGTCGCTCACTCGGCGTGATTGCTGACAAGGTTCGGTCTCGTGCTTCATCAGTTACACGAAATCCGTCCGCCGACGCCCGTACTGGCGTAGGGCTCCTGTGCTGTACGCGAGGGAGGAGGGACAGGGAGGGGAATCACGACAGGAGAGCCCAGAATCGAATCGATAATCGGATCGGCGATCGAAATGAATCGGATCGGCGGGAATCGGCAGCCGAGTCGGGAAAAGTCGAATCGGCAGAAATCAGCAGGCTAACATGCCTCCAATCAAAAATCTGACCCCAAATCGGAATACCAAGTCGAATCGAATCGGAATCGGAAGCCAACGAAATCGAACCGCATCGAATCGGAGGAGTCGAAATAAGCCCGTCACAGGGGGGAAGCGAGCCACGCCTGGTGGGTGGGGGAGGAGCGGGGCGGCAGGCAGGGGGCAGTAGGCAAATAGTCATCATGAGCCTCCTCCTCCTCCTCCTCCTCCTCCGCCGCCTCCTCCTCCTGCTCCGCCTCCTCCTGCTCCGCCTCCTCCTCCGCCTCCTCCTCTTCCTCCTCCTCCTCCTCCTCCTCCGCCTCCTCCTCATCCTGCTCCGCCTCTTCCTGCTCCGCCTCCTGCTCCGCCTCCTGCTCCGCCTCCTCCTTCACCTCCTCCACCTCCTCCTCCGCCTCCTACTCCCTCTCCGCCTCCTCCTCCTCCTCCTCCTCCTCCTCCTCCTCCTCTCCTCCTCCTCCTCCTCCTCCTCCTCCTCCTCCTCCTCCTCCCCCTCCCCCTCCTCCTCCTCCTCTTCAGTGTCATCCTCCTCGTTGTCCTCCTCCACCTCCTCCTCCTCCTCCTTGTTGTCCTCCTCCACCTCCTCGTGCTCTTGCCTTTACTGCTCGTCGGGGGAAGGCGGGTGAGCGGGAGGCGGAAGTTGACCAGGGGGGAGCGGAAGGAAGAGGCGGGGAGGCTAATGGTAGCAGGAGGGTAAGACGAAGCCAGGACGAGGAAAAACTCTGATATATCGAGAATCTCTGAGATCCGGCGAATCTGGAGGACATCTCGGGCGCCGCGGCCTTCTCAGAGCGTTCCGGACGCTCTGAGCGCATTCTGGAACGCTCTGGAACGGATTTATCCTCGTGCTAGCCCTGTCCGAGAGGGGGAGGGGACTGCCAGAGCGACCCCAACGGGGATCGGTGAGGGCTCAACAAAAGACCGTTTTTTATCCGCGATAACCCAGGTTATTCCGGGGGGGGAGAAGAGGGCCGGCCGATAACCTGACATTCGCGCTGTGGGCAGCCCTACATATGCCCGCGCCCCCCCACCCCAGACCTGCTTAACCGGCAAGGTCAAAGCATCCTGGGAGGGGGGGGGAGGGGGGGCAAGCCCGATAACCTGGGTTATCGCCCGACCCTACAAGATCATTAGCCTCCAACCCTCTGCCGTCGCGCGACTCGACCTAGATCTTCCGCGACCTGCCTGGACTCACCCGGAGATCCCCAGGCATAACTTGACTCTGGCCACACACCGGCCTTCTGCCGGCATGCGCCGCTCCATCTGGCACTGCGCGGGCCTCCGGGGGCCCCTCGGGACGCTGCGGGCACCCCCAGACGCCTACCGACGAGGTGCAGCGGATGAAAACATCTCGGGGCCCCAAAACCTCGAAAGACGTACAGAACTCTCCGAGCACCTCCGAGGAAGTCAACCCCGCAGGTCGACCGGAGAAGGCGCTCGCCAGGGCCAGGAAGCGCGCCCCCCAGGCAAGGGAGGCCCGCGCCGAGTCGGGGACGCACCGACCCGTGCCAGTGCAAGCCCGTCCGGCTTCGACGGCTCCTGCACGATCCTGCAGGATCCTGCAAGGTTCGGGGGCGCGGCAGCGGATCCGGCAGGATCCTGCAAAATCCTGCCGGATGGTGCAGGATTTTGCACGGCAGCGGAATCCGTCGCTGATACACGCGCCCCAATCCACTTTTCGATGAACAAAGACTGGCGTAAACATAAACTGTTGAAGGTCCGCGCGGACCTCCGCACGTTTCTGTTTATGCCGTTTCTTGTCATTTGCATCTTGGCGCTTTTTAGACTGGAACGACGTATCGGGGGCTCGCAAACAGGGATCGCGGGGGAGGCGCCCTCCCCAGAATGCGGCCGGCGCCGCCTCGCTCGGCGGCGGAGATCCGCGCTTTCCCACGGAAATGGGACCCGTCGCTAATCCACGCCCCCTTCATCCATGTTGGCGATCGCCTGAGACGTGTCCCCATCCTCAGGCCTGCCTGACCTCCCCCTCAGGGCTCGGGCTTCCGCCCCGGCAGCTGGCGATCCGATCCCGCGGCGGGCGGCTCCTGTGGTGGTCGGCGCTGCGGTAGTCTGCGCTGCGGTGGCATTGGCATCTCCCGGCAGAGTGGATCCATTGATGATCGGCGCTGCGGTGGTCGGCGCTGCGGTGGCATTGGCATCTCCCGGCAGAGTGGATCCACCGATCCCCCTGGCGGGGAAGCCTCACTCTGCAGATCCACCTCCCTCCTCCTGCTCCTCCTGCTCCTGCTCCTGCTCCTCCTCCTCCTCCTCCTCCTCCTCCTCCTCCTCCTCCTCCTCCTCCTCCTCCTCCTTCTCCTCCTCCTCCATTCCTTCTCAATAGACATAACCTCTCCCTGTCGCACCCCAAGGCGAGTTTTTAGCGCGGGCCGGACGTTTCGCCTGAGACGTCCTCACCATTTATGACTCTGAAGCTGAAATAAAGACAACAGCTTCACAGATGAAGGGCGGGCCGTTTTCAAAATGTGGCTCTCGCCTTAGCGCCGCGCACATTCGTTTTTTAAATTTGCAAGAGCTTCACGGATTGAGGGCGGGTGGTTTTCAAAATGTGGCTCTCGCCTGAGCGCCGCGCACATTCGTTGCAAAAAATGCGAGAGTTTCACGGATTGAGGGCGGTTGGTTTTCAAAATGTGGCTCTCGCCTGAGCGCCGCGCACATTCGTTGTAACAAATTACAACATCTTCACGGATTGAGGGCGGTTCCTTTTCAAAATGTGGCTCTCCCCTTAGCGCCGCGCACGTTCGTTCTCACAATTTGCAAGAGTTTCACGGATTCCAATGGTCAACGTATCAGAAATTGCGTTTTGAAAGGATTATGGAGCATGCGGGTGCGACAATTATGTTGATTCGCGGTGTTGAAGTCCCAAAAGAGGCGCTCTGGCACGATTCCGGATCGTCAAGACACAACCATCAGGTTGATACGTGGCGGTGAAATCCCAACAACAATGTTTTAGCATGCTTCAGGATCTTCAAACGGTTGTCTTCCAGTGAGGCAGTTCTCTCAATGGAAATGAACCGTTGTGGAGGCCTATGAAGAGGGGGTTTGGAGGGAGGGTGAATTCCAACATCGTTGATGACTCTTGGATTTACACTGGTCCTCCTACTCCTCGTCCTCCTCCTCCCCCATGTCCTCCTCCTCCTCTTCCTCTTCCTCCTTCTCCTCCTCCTGCTCCTCCTCCGACGCTCCATCCACATCATGCTCCTCGCCATCCTCCTGCTCGTCCTCCTCTTCCTCCCTCTCCTCCTCCTCCTCCTCCTCCTCCTCCTCCTCCTCCTCCTCCTCCTCCTCCTACTTATCCTCCTCCTCCTCCTCCTCCTCATCTTCCTCCTCTTCCTCCTCCTCGTCCTTGTCTTCTTCTTCCTCCTCATCCTCCTCCTTCACCTCATCCTCATCCTCCTCCTCCTCCTCATCCTCATCCTCATCCTTCACCTCAGATTCGTCATCAGCAGCAGCATCGTCACCCTCACTATCATCATCATCATCATCATCATCATCATCATCAACATCATCATCATCATCATCATCAGCAGCAGCAGCAGCAGCAGCATCATCAGCATCATCATCACCATCAGCAGTAGCACATCATCATCAGCATCATCATCATCATCATCAGCATCATCAGCATCATCAGCATCATCAGCATCATCATCATCATTATCATCATCAGCAGCAGCATGGTCGTCATAATAATAATCAGCATCATCAGTATCAGCAACATCATCATCATCAGTATCATCAGCATCATCAGCATCAGCATCATCATCAGTATCATCATCAACATCAGCATTATCAGCATCGTCATCATCACCATCCTCATCCTCATCCTCATCCTCATCCTCATCCTCATCCTCATCCTCATCCTCATCATCATCATCATCATCATCATCATCATCATCATCAGCATCATCATCATCATCATCGTCAGCATCATGTTCATCAGCATAAACAGCATCACCATCATCATCTGCATCAGCATCATCACCATCAGCATCAGCATCCTCAGCAGCATCACCATCAGCGCATCATCATCAGCACCATCTTCATCAGCATCATCAGCAAAATCCGCCGACCCCTTGGGGTTCATCGGCGTGTCAGATGTTCCCCCTCCCCAAACCCCTCCCCCGGGAGCCCGGTCCGGTCCATTTGGAGGGGGGGGGGGGGTCCGGCCGGACGGGCCGGAACCCCCCGGAGGTCTCATCCGCTCCCGAAAAACGTGGAAAAACACGTGGAATTCGTGTAGGGACGCGTCTGGTGGCCTCCAAATGGGTTTGGGACGCCCCACGAGCGCTCCAAGACGTCCAAGTTTGCCCGAAGACGGGCCACGAGGCGTCCTCGACGGCAGAAGAGGTCCCCACGAGCTCCCCCGAGGGCCTCCGAGATGCGTTCCACAAGGGTCCCTAGACGCCAAAATTGGGCCATTCCCTTCGTGAAATGTACATTTTAAAAAAATTCAGCTTTGGATTTTTCCGATGCTCCCCGACGGCCCAAGAGGCTCCCAAACCCGCTCCCAGACGGCCCCAGAAGCCTCGCAGAGGGCCCCCCACAGACCCCTAGAGGGCCCAAGACGGGCCAACAGGCGTCCAAGACGGCCCAAGAGGGCTCCGAAAACGGCCCCAAGAGCGTTCCAGGAGCGTTCCGAGCTGCTTCCCCGAAGCTCCACATGGTCCCAGACGGTCCAAGAGCGATCAGAAACATCGACGACGACCTCCCGACGGCTCACGAGGCCTCCCCAGACGCCCCCACAGGCATCCAAGATTCCCCCCAAGAGGCCCTCTAGACGCAAAAAATCGTTCGTTTCCTCTGTAAAACGTATATTTTTTCACACGTGCGCCTTTGGGGGTGACCCCCGCTCCTGCACGGCCCCAGAGCCCCCCAAACCCGCTCCCAGACGGTCCAAGACGCCTCCAAGAGGGTCCGTACATAGCCCTCGAGGGCCCCAACACGTTCATCGGCGTGTCAGATGTTCCCCCTCCCCAAACACCTCCCCCGGGAGCCCGGTCCGGTCCATTTGGAGGGGGGGGGGGGTCCGGTCGAACGGCCCCGGACAGCCCGGAATCCCCCGGAGGTCTCATCCGCTCCCGAAAAACGTTGAAAAACACGCGAAATTCGTGTAGGGACGCGTCTGGTAGCCTACGGCCCCGGACGGCCCGGAACCCCCCGGAGGTCTCATCCGCTCCTGAAAAACGTGGAAGAAACACGTGGAATTCGTGTAGGGACGCGTCTGGTGGCCTCGAAATGGGTTTCGGACGCCCCACGAGCGCTCCAAGACGTCCAAGTTTGCCCGAAGACGGGCCACGAGGCGTCCTCGACGGCAGAAGAGGTCCCCACGAGTTCCCCCGAGGGCCTCCGAGATGCGTTCCACAAGGGTCCCTAGACGCCAAAATTGGGCCATTCCCTTCGTGAAATGTACATTTTTTAGAAATTCAGCTTTGGATCTTTCCGATGCTCCCCGACGGCCCAAGAGGCTCCCAAACCCGCCCCCAGACGGCCCCAGAAGCCTCGCAGAGGGTCCCCCACAGACCCCTAGAGGGCCCAAGATGGGCCAACAGGCGTCCAAGACGGCCCAACACGGCTCCGAAAATGGCCCCAAGAGCGTTCCAGGAGCGTTCCGAGTTGCCTCCCCGAAGCTCCACATGGTCCCAGACGGTCCAAGAGCGATCAGAAACATCGACGACGACCTCCCGACGGCTCACGAGGCCTCCCCAGACGCCACCACAGGCATCCAAGATTCCCCCCAAGAGGCCCTCTAGACGCAACAAATCGCTCGTTTCCTCTGTAAAACGTATATTTTTTCACACGTGCGCCTTTGGGGGTGACCCCCGCTCCTGCACGGCCCCAGAGCCCCCCAAACCCGCTCCCAGACGGTCCAAGACGCCTCCAAGAGGGTCCGTACATTGCCCTCGAGGGCCCCAAGACGTTCATCGGCGTGTGAGATGTTCCCCCTCCCCAAACTCTTCCCCCAGGAGAAGGCAGAGGAGGAGAGGCAGGAAGAGGAGCAGGAGGGAGGAGCAGGGGGAGGAGGAGAGGAGGAGAGGGAGCCGATCATCGTAATCAGTGTCGTGATCATCAACGACGTCATTGCCATCGACAAGGTCAGCCCAAACATCCCCGAACATTAACAGTTAGCGGGACATCCCGCTTGGAAACCGCCGACAACCGTAAGATGTCTCCGGGGTGTAACATACTTCCCTGGCTCCGGCACCCGTGCAAGGCTCCAAACACAACCCAAAAAACCTCCCTGTGCCGTCTTGGGGTTCGCTTGGGCCGTCTGGAAGCCCTCTGGGCCAGTTTGCGACCCATGTCGGCTCCCCTTCTCGCTGTGACGGGCCCTGAACAGCCTCATTTTCCCACGGTTTGCAAGGAAGCTGTGGTGAAAGATCCCGAGGAAAATCCAAGGGGTCGGCGGATGTGGCGGAAGCCTGAAGAATCATCATCCTCATCAGCATCAGCAGCATCAGATCATCAGCAGCAGCATCGTCAGCATCATCCTCGCAAGATACATCATCAACACCATCAGTTTCATCATCATAATCATCAACAGCAGCATCATCAACAACAACGTCATCACCAGCAGCAGCACCACCACCGTCCTCATTGTCATCATCAGCATCATCATTATCATCAGCATCATCAGCAGCAGCATCATCAGCATCATCATCACCCAACGGTACGCGCCGTCCCTGAAATAGGCCTCGAGCCAGCCCATTTGCGATGTTCAAGCTGAAGCCTCCAGGGCTCCGAGGCTTCAACTTGAGCCGAGACTGCCAGGGGCCTCCTTTCTCCCCACCTCCTCCGCCCCCCTCTTCCCTTCTCCCTCCCTGGCTCCTCCCCCTTCTCCTCCTACCTCTCTTCCTCCCCCTCCTCCTCCTCCTCCTCCTCCTCCTCCTCTTCCTCCTCCTCGTCCTCCTCCTCCTCCTCCTCCTCCTCCTCCTCCTCCCCCTCCTCCCCCTCCTCCTCGTCCCCCCCTCCTCCTCCTCCTCCTCCTTCTCCTCCTCCTCCTCTTCCCCCTCCTCCCTCCTCCCTCCTCCCTCCTCCCTCCCTCCTCCCTCCTCCCTCCCTCCTCCGTCCTCCCTCCTCTCTCCTCCCTCCCTCCTCGTTGTCCTTCCCCCGCCCCCATCGCGGCCCTCGGTCGGGACGCGCCGCCGCGAAGCGCTCCGAAGGACCCCGGCGGAACAGAGCTCCCCCCCCCTTCCGAGCAGAGGTCGACCGACGCGTGCCTGCCCTCGCAGCAGGACTGTAGCAGCTCCGGGGTGTGGCAGAGGTCGCACTGCTCCCCGGAGCAGCCCTGGCACGCCGCGTCCAGGCAGCAGCCCACGCCCGCGGAGTCGTAGCAGATCTGGCACTGCTCGCCGCCTCGGCGTGCGAGGCGGGCACCGGAGGCGGACGCCCCGCGGGGTCGCCGAGCGGGGCGCCTCTCTCGCAGGGTCGAGGCCTCGTGGGCGCCGCCGCTCGAAGACGCTCCATGCGCGGGCGGCGCGAAGCGACAGCGCGGAAGCTCGGAGCAGCAGGGGGGCGCATCCGACTGCCTGCCAGACCACCCCAACCCAACCCGAAGACCCGAATTTCGGGTTATGGGGGGGTAGGGGTTCCAGATGTGTTTTCTCAAAAAATGTTCCCCGACCTCCCCCCGCTGGAAATGGAGAGCAAATTGAAGCCTTCGGGTTGGGTTGGGGTGGTTCGGTGGGTGGTGAGCATCGGAGGTCGCCGAAGAAGAAAAAACGCCATAAACGTAAGCTTTGGGCGCTCCGCGCGGATTTCTGGAATCCGCGCTGGGCCACCCCTGGGCGGCGCCTCCCGCGCGGAGGTAAGAAATCCGCGTGGAGCGCCAAAAGTTATTGTTTACGGCGTTGTTTATTTTTCCACGCAGGGGGGCGCATCGGAGGTCGGAAAGGACGAGGCCTACGAGACGGAGCGCCGACCCACCGAGAGATATCGACTTCGGTGTCGGCTCGGGCCTGGGGCGCGGGCGAGGCGAGGCGTTGCGGGGTGCGAGAGAGAGCCACCGAGGCGATGCGCTGGCGGCTGCCCCGCGGTCGTCCTGGTGGTTGTCCTGCGGTTGTCCCGTGGCTATCCGCCCACAGGCTTGGCGCCAGTGCCCAGCGCGGTGCTCCCACGGCTGCCCCGTGGCCGTCCCCTGGCTGTGCCCTGCGGTTGGTCCACGGCTGTCACGTTGTCTGGCAGACGGTGCTCAGCTGGGCAGGTGGTTGGAAGGGTGGAATGTGTTCGAAGAGTAAGAGGTGTTACACTCGTGAGACCAATGAGGATACTTACAACGCTGACGATATCTTAGGTTAGAAAGCGAGGGGTTAGAGCAGTTGGAAGATGTGAGAGAGTTCCGCCGGCAATAGCGAGACGGGTTGGAACAGTTGTAAGATATAGAAGAATCAGAAGGACTAGGATGGTTAGAATAACTGCGAAGTCAGGAAAGGTATGATACAATGTAGGTTGCATTAAATAGACGACTGAGTCCAGGTAGAGGAGTTACACGGGCTGCTATCACGTAGAACGAGCATGATACCAGAGAACAACCCAACCATAATCTTGTTAGGGCTATAGGGGTATAGGGTTATCTGGCTACAGGGCTATAGGGCGATGGGGCTATGGGGCTACAAGGTTATAGGGCTATAGGGCTATAGGGTTATACGGCAATAGAGCTCTAGGGCTACGGGGTTATACGGCTATAAGGCTACAGGGGTTATAGGGCTATGGGGCTATAGGGCCATTAGGGCTATATTGCTATAGGACAATTAGAGCTGTAGGGCTATAGGGATACAGGGCTATAGGGTTATAGGGCTATAGGGCTATAGGGCTATGGAACTATAGGGCTATAGGACTATAAAGCTATAGGGATACAGGGTTATGGGGTTATAGGGCTATAGGGATGTAGGGCTGTAGGGCTACCAGGGCTATAGGGCTTTAAGGCTATAGGGCTATAGGGCTATAGGGCTATAGGGCCATAGAGATATAGGGCGATAGGGCTACTAGGTTATAAGGGTATAGGGCTATCGGACTATAGGGCTATTGGGCTATAAGGCAATTTGGACTATAGGGCTACAAGACTATTAGGGCTATAGGGCTATAGGGCTATAGGACTATTAGTGCTATAGGGCTACCGTGCTATAAGGCTATAGGGCTATAGGGTTATAGGGCTATAGGGCTATAGGGCTATAGGGTTATAGCGCTATAGGGCTATAGGGCTACAGGGCTATAGGGCTATAGAGCTATAGGGCTATGGGTCTATAGGGCTATAGGGCTATTGGGATCTTGGGCTATACGGCAATTGGGCTATAAGGCTGTAGGGCTATAGAACTATAGGGCTACCATGCACCCGGATACCCGGGCACCCGGGCACCCGGGCACCTGGGCACCCCAGGGCACCTCCGGGCAGCCCCGGGCACCTCCGGGCGCCCCCCGGCACCTCCAGGCACTCCCGGGCCCCGGGGCGCCCGGGCACCAGCTGGTGCCCGGGCCGGCCACCGAAATCGGCGACGTAGGTCACCTACACATATGAATCCGCTTGGACCCCTACAGAGGCAAACTTTGATTGGGGAACAAAGAACGTTACCAGAATAAGAACACTTAGAGTCCAGTATCCCCAAACAGCGTTTTTGAGCCAAATGTTCACGCGTCCTCCTGTTCCTGATCAGCCTGAGCCTTCGGCGTCGCTGTGGACCTTTTCGTCATCGTTGTCATCCTCCTCTTAATCCTTCGCATCCACGTCATTCTCGTCCTCGCCCTCGCCCTCCCCCTTCCACTACACCTCCTCCTCCTCCTCCTCCTCCTCCTCCTCCTCCTCCTCCTCATCCTCATCCTCCCCCTCATCCTCTTCCAACTCCTCCTCTTCTCCCTCCTCCTCCTCCTCCTCATCCTCCTCATCAGCATCTTCTTCATCATCATCATCAGCAGCAGCATCAGCATCATCATCATCATCATCATCATCATCATCATCATCATCATCATCATCATCATCATCATCATCATCATCATCATCATCATCATCATCAGCAGCAGCAGCAGCAGCATCATCAGCATCAGCATCAGCATCAGCATCAGCTCATCATCATCACATCAGCATCAGCATCATCACCACCACCACCCATCATCATCATCATCAGCATCATCATCATCATCATCATCATCATCATCATCATCATCATCATCATCAGCAGCAGCAGCAGCAGCAGCATCATCATCATCATCATCATCATCATCATCATCATCATCATCATCATCATCATCATCATCATCATCATCATCATCATCATCATCATCATCGCCGCCATTATCATCATCATCATCATCATCATCAGCAGCATCATCACCACCATTACCATCATCATAATCGCCATCATAATCAGAATCGTCATCATAATCAGTATCAGCCTCATCATCATCATCAGCATCATCATTATCAGCATCATCATCATCATCCTCATCCTCCTCCTCATCATCATCATCATCATCATCATCATCATCATCATCATCATCATCATCATCATCCCCCTCAGCCTCATCGTCATCCTCATCCTCAGACCTCCTCTTCTCCACTTCCTCCGCCATGCCAGGGATGCCTCCGCACTCTCGATGCCGCTTCCCCCTCACATGGGGTGCCCTCTTAACGTGCAGCCTGGGCCTGGCCCCGTCTCCCTCCTCCATGATTCCCTTATTCCCCTCCCTTTTCTTCAGGGATGAAAAAAACGACCCTACCCTGGGTTACAAGTGCGTGGTGTGTACCTCCTGGGAACCCCTCAAGCCTAGAGGACGCCAGGACGCCGCACGTCACGCAGGGTTTACCCTGTCAGCCCACAGGAGTTTCCGCGCACAGCGCCTCGTAAACCAGGGTAGGGGCATGTTTAAAAGCCCTTGATTTCCCCTCCCCCCATCCTGCCTCCTCTCTGCCCGCCGCGCTCGCGCTCGAGGCATCTGCCTCCACGATCTGCTCAAGCATGGCTCCCGCCGAGCCGCCCCTGCCAATCTACCGAGGAACCGTGCTCGCGCCTCCTCGCCCGCTGCCGCCCTCCGTCGGGGAGCGCCCACACCCCTCCCAGAGCACGACTCGACAACAGAAGTGGAACCAAATGGTTCGTTTGTGTCTTTTGGCTTTTTCTTTGTTGTGTCTGACCCCTCCTCCCTGCTCCCTCCTCCCTCACGGAGCCCAGAGGCTCGAGGATGTCTCCAGAGAAACGCTCGGGGCCACCGCGCGCGCGGCATCTCGGAGCCGCGAACTGTGAGGACATCTCGAGCGAAACGGGCCAGACCACCTCGCGCGCAGTCTCTCAAAGCGCCGAATTGCGAGGATATCTCAGGCGAAACGAGCTGGACCATCTCGCGCACGTCGTCAAGGAACCAAAAACTGTGAGGAATACTCATGCGAAATGCGTTGGACTACCTTGCTTTAAATTTTCTCAGAGCCTAGACTTGCAAGAGTGTCTCAGGCGAAACGGACTGGACCACCTCGGGCGCGGCATCTCGGAGCCGAGACTTGAAAAGATGTCTCAAGCGAAACGCGCAGGACCACCACGCGCGCGACATCTGGGAGCCGAGACCTGCAAGGATGTCTCAAGCGAGATGAGCCGGACATCTGGGAGCTCAGAGTTGCGAGGATGTTTCAAGCGGCGCCAAGACCCCTCCCAGAGCACAATTTAACAACAGGAGTGGAATCAACTGGTTCGCTTGGGTCTGACCCGTCCTCCCTGCTCCTTCCTCCCTCTCAGATCTCAAAGGTTCGAGAATGTCTAAAAAGCGAGACGCTTCGGACCACCTTGCGCGCGGCATCTCGGAAACCCAAATTACGAGGATGTCTTAAGTGAGATGGGCCAGACCACCTCGCGCACATTTTCTCAGAGCGCAGCATTGCGAGGATACCTCAGGCGAAACGGGCTGGACCACATCGCGCGCAGCATCTCGAAGCCCAGAGATGCGAGGATGTCTGAAGCAACACGGACCAGACCACCTCGCGCACATTTTCTCAGAGCCCAGAGTTGCAAGAATGTCCCAGGCGAAAAAAGCCCGGCCCACCTCGGGCGCGGCATCTCGGAGCCGAGACTTGAAAAGATGTCTCAAGCGAAACGCGCAGGACCACCACGCGCGCGACATCTGGGAGCCGAGACTTGCAAGGATGTCTCAAGCCAGATGAGCCGGACCACCTCGCGCGCAGCATCTCGGAGCACAGAGTTGCGACGATGTCTTAGGCGAAATAGGCCAGACAACGTCGCGCGCACCCTCTCGGAGCTCCGAATTACGAGGACGTCTCAAGCGAAGCGGGCCAGACAGGCTTGCGCACACCTTTCCCAGACCCCAGAGTTACGAAGGCGTCTCAGGCGAAGCGGGCCAGACCACCTCGCATACATCTTCGCTAAGCCCATAGATGCGAAGATGCCTGGCGCGAAATTGGCCGGAACACCTCTCGCGCGACATCTGAGAGCCCGAAAGTGCGAGGATGCCTTAGGCGAAACAAGATGGACCACAACGCGCGCAGCATCTCGGAGCCCAGAGTTGCGAAGACGCATCTAGCGAAACGCGCAAACTACCGTGAGCGCGGCGTCTTGGAGCCCGGAGTTGCGAGATTGTCTCAGGCAAAATGGGCTGGACCACCTCGGGCGAGGCATCTCGGAGCCAAGCCTTGCAAGGATGCCTGAGGCGAAACACGCGGGACTACCTACCTCGTGCACATCGGCGCCCAGAGGTGAGAGGATGTCCCACGCGAAACGGGCTGGACCACCTCGCGCGCGGCATCTCGGAGATCAGAGTTGCAAGGATGGCGAGACGCGCTTGGCCACCTCTCGCGCGGCATCTCGGAGCCCCGAGTTGTGCGGATGCCTCGAGAGAAACCAGCTGGACCACCTCTCGCGCAGCATCTCGAAGCCCAGAAATGCGAGGATGTCTCAAGCGAAACGGGCCAGCGACCTCTCGCGCGACATCTGAAAGCCCGAAAGTGCGAGGATGTCTCCGGCGAAACGGGCTGGACCACCTCGCTCGCGGCATCTCGGAGCTCAGCATTGCGAGTATGTCTCTGGCGAAACGCTTCGGACCACCTCGCGCGCGGCATCTGGGAGCCAGACGCTGTGAGAATGTCACAGGCGAGACGTCCAAGCCCTGCCAGCCTCAAAGCTTGGGTTGTGAGGATGCCTCCGGCAACACGGCCCGGACCACCAAAGTTTCTTGAGGATGACTCTGCACGCCCTGCCTTCGACTGGAGCTAGCTTCTACCACAACCGCACCCCGTTCAGCGAGCCATTCGGGGAAATAGCATGCTTCAACGCTTAACCAAAATAGGGGACCGAATGGTTGCGCGCGTAGCATTGCAAGAGTAAACGCCTTAAATGAATTGGAAGATATAGCTGGGAGAGACAGAGTGAGAGAGAAAGATAAATAACAAAGAGATTGCTGAATACTCTATCAACGAAACAATCCGAGTAACAGGCACATACATAATATCATAACAGCTAGATTCGTTTACAGAAGAGTGAAACACAAAGAAGAGTGAGAATGATCGGGAGAGCTTGGATCGGCCGCAGAGTTAAACGAGCTCGAACAATTCAAAGAGGTCTGGTGGGTTTAAAGAGTTCGAGTGTAGAAAATAAGGCACACCGCAACTATCCGACGCCAAGCCAATCGCAAACCGCAGCTGGTCTCATGGGTCAAGCATGGACAGACGCTCACAACAGATAGGAGCCTCAAATACAATACGCAATCCCGACACCGGACTCTTCTTGTGAACTGCTGCCAGGCCACGCAATATCACTGAATAAACTGAAGTAGAGAAACCCACAGAGATCGTAGCCTAGATAAATCATCAAAGTAAGATCCTCACGCTGCCTGCCCGTTTCCACAAGTCGCAGTGGGTGAAGCCACTAAGCCCCTGACTGCAGCCGTTGCAAGAGGACGTGTCGCAATCATCGGCTGGCGAACTAGACGTGACTGGTGGTGAGATCGAGGTCGACTCAGTCGCGGAATCCACACTGCTTGTAGGATCGGGTGGTGAGGTAGATCCAGTCGTGACATCCACGCTGCTTGTAGGACTCGGCGGTGAACTGCAGAATCTATTTGAAGCATCTCTCTCAGGTGAGGCCTGGAAAAAGCTGTATGTTGCCCTGGTGTCCACATTACTCTGCCACTCAAAAGGTCTGCACATAGACAGAAGCGAAAAACACACAATCCCTCCAAAACTTACCGCTGCGCCCGCAACTCACGGTTGTCCTGATCATCCACCGCCTCCGCCCTGCTGCTCCTTCTCTTTCTGCTCGTCCTCTCCCTCCTGCTCGCCCTCCTCCAACTCCAGATCCTTCTGCTGCTGCTCCAGCTCCTCCTCGTCCTCCCCATTATACTGCTGCGTCTTCTCCTACTCATCCGTATCATTATCCTCATCCTCGTCATCACTATCCCCATCATCAACCGCATGAGCATCATCACCATCAACAACAATCATTTAAAGATTGTTCACTCGTACTGGCACGCGTGTCGTGCATTCCGTATACCCCAACCCTCGATACTCGCCCACTTCGTCTTCGATTGTAACCCGTTTTGGGGGGAATCTCTTCCTTGCCGTCCACTGACTGAAGTGCAAGAAATTTCGAGCGAGAGCGCAGTTCCTGAATTCGGGGGCCTCTCTGACCAGGGGCTCTCGGAATACCTACGGAGAAATATCGAACGGGAACCCTTGTCGCCGTGTCTGGGTCTCCACCAACTTGCTTGCATTACGAGAAAGTCTCGAGCGAGAGCGCCGTTCCTGACTTCGGGGGCCTTCTTGGCCAGGGCTCTCGGAGTAAATCGTGAGGAATTATCGAGCAGAAGCCGTTGTCGTCGTGGCTGGGCCTCCGCCAACTTGATTGAATAGCGAGTAAGTCTCGAGCGAGAGCGCCGTCCCTGAATTCGGGGGCCTCTCTGGCCAAGGTCTCGGGGTAAATTGTGAGGAAGTATCGAGCGGGAGCCGTTATTGTAGTAGCTGGGCCTCCAAGGGCCCACATTTAGGCTCAAGCCAACGCTCGAGCGGGAGTCTCGTTCTCAAGAAACATGTAGCCGGCGTCGAGGCGAGAGCGCGCGGAACCGTTTCTGGAAAGCAACACTACTTATTCTCTACAAACGAATATTCAACAACAATAGCAGCAGCAACAACAGCAGCAGCAGTACAACCTCAAGAACATCGATATCAATATCAACAACAACAATAATAATAACAACAACAACAACAACAACAACAACAGCATCACCATCAACATCAATAGCAAAAACCAACACCAACGCATCAGCATCGCAAACACAACGGACACGGCCACCATGATGCCCCTGCCCGCCTCAATACGAGTACCCATGCTGCTCTCCCTGCTGCTCCTGCTCCCGGCCGCGCTGCGCCCCTGCTCGTGGCAGGGCGCCTCGTGGCGGGGTCGTCGCACGCAACCTGCTTGTTGGTGCAGCACCACACCTCCCAGCCGGGCGGCAGAGCGCGCGCAGGCCCTCTCTTGGCTGGCGGGGCGCGCGCGGCGACCGGGGCCGGGCGCGCGCGGGCGCGGGAGAGAAGGAAGAGCGCCCAGCACCGATGCTGCGGGGGCCTCTCGCCGACCCCTCGGCGGCGCACCGTCGACTCCACGTCGGTGCGTCACCCCCTGAGCCAGCTCCCACCCCCCCCCCCTCTTGGCTCCCGAGGAGCGAAGGCAGACATCAACATAAGCTTGCGGCGCACCGAGCACATGTCTTGGATCAGCGGGGGGCCTCCTGGCGCGTTGCGTGCGCCAGGGAGGGGGCGCAGGGCCGATCCACGAAATCCGAGCGGACCTCCGACAGCTTCTGTGGATGCAGCTCGTTAGAATTGACGGCGGGCTGCGCGAGCAGGCCGCAAGCCAAAGAGAAGGCGTTCCCCTCTGGTTTCTGTTTTGTATCATGTCAGTCTTCTTGTTCCCTACCTAAGCTCTGCCTAGAAGGATTCTTACTCTCTTGGCTTAAAGGGCCAGGCAGTGGGGACCGGCCCGGGTGGTTCCCCCAGTATCCACCCCCCGGTTCCCCCAGCTACGTCGCCTTAGCTTAGCGTTGCCTATCTCAGCTTAGCTTAGTTTATGTCATACTAGCTTAGCTTAGCTTCATCTTAGCTCCGGTTTATCTTAGCTTAGCTCACCTTCATCTTAGCTTCGCTGAGCTTTAGCATAGCAGAGCACAGCATAGCATAGCATAGCGTAGCATAGCATACCGCTGCATCGCATATCATAGCATAACCCAGTATAGCATATCATAGCATAGATTAGCATAGCACATCGCAGCATGACATAGCATAGTTTAGCATATCATAGCATCGCATAGCGCAGTGTAGCATAGCATAGCATAGCATAGCATAGCGCAGCATAGCATGGCATGGCATGGCATAGCATAGCATAGCAACTAATGCTGCTTTCCTAGGGGCTCCAACTTCTAGGTAGGGTCGCATTGGGGTAATTGCTCTTCTTACATGTACGATCGGCATGATAATTCTGCCCCTCCTCCCACTCCTCCCCGCTCGCCCCCTCTGCCGACTTCTCCGGTTCCCCCCCTCTCGCTCCGTCCTCCTCCCCGTCCCCCCCCCTTCCTCTTCCTCCCCTCCCCCTCCTGGTTTCTTGATGCTCTCCGGCGCGAGCGCCGCTCCTGGCCATCGTCAGGCAGCGAGCGACCGATGACCGAGGCGCGCAGCGGAACGCCAGCTGCATTACGTCGGCGGGCGAGGGTCAGCTTGAGCGGGCGTGTCCTCCTCCTATAGGAGGATATTGGGCTATCTGTAACTAGTGTAAGATTGGTTATTAAACTATGGCTTGCTATGTTTGCTAGTTGCTTGACATGTTTTACTATGTTTTACTTGATTTACCATCGTCGTATTTTTGAACACTCCTCCTGTTGAGGGACACGCCCGACTTAAGGTCAGCCCGCCCGCCATCCGAGGCGGTGCGGAAGGCGGGCGGCGCCTTCCCCCCCCATCTCGCGCGCAGCACACCGCAGAGGGCGACGCCCTCTCTGGAGAGACTGGTTTGGCCTGGAGCGGGTCGCGCAGAAACATCCCAGAGATCCGGTGTCGCGGTTTGTTCAATACTGGGTCCTTGGAAGTCTCGACCACTCCCCAGGACCAATTTTTCACCCCTTTAGTCGTTTCCTGACGGCCCCGAAGCCCAGCAAAGGCCCCTAGAGACCGAGGGATACGAAAAACCTCCGTTTGGATGTTTGCCAATACGGTAATACTATATGTCCTCCTTAGAGGCGCGCGTCCGGCCCGAACACTAAATACGCATACCCATCTTACAGCAGATCGCTTCCCGAGCGGCGTGGCCAGGGAACGCCCGCCACGACGCACACACACTAGAAGATGTCTCGGTGCGCGCGGCGCCCCTGGGGGGGCGACGCACACTTGCTCGTAAGCGGCGAAGCGGTGAAATCCGCACCAGCGTAACAGCTAGGTACTCCAAATCCCTTATTAATCGCCCCCGTCCCCCGGGTCCGGTTTTTTTTGGCGCCGTTTTTGTAACTGGAGGGGTCCGGTTTATCATGGCATTTTCTTTGGGTTGGAGCTTGGGGGGGTCTTGTTTACCAAGGCGCCCCGTCGAGGAGGGGGGTCTGGAATATCAGGTCGCACTTGGAGGGGGAATGGGTTGTTTAATTTTGGGGGGGGTCGAATCAGAAGGGATTTGGAGCAGGGGCACGAGCCATGGAATGTGCCGGCGTGCAAGAGAGCGGGGGGAGGCCGACGAGAGGATTTGGACGCCCGACATGGGTACCGAAAAAATGGGTACGATGCCCAACAACAAATGCTGTCCCAAACCAACAGCGGCCGCTGTTGGGCAGGCGGCCTCCTGTCTCGAATGGACACAGGCCGCGGCGGCGTGGACAGCGAGGCCTGTTCCAAATGAACAGGAACTGCTGTTGGGCATCGTACCCATTCTTTCCGTACCCATTTCGGGCGTCCAGAGAGGAGGGGGGAGGCCGCACGGACGCCGAAGGCTTCCACAGGGGCGAGGCACGCACGGTGTTTTTAGCATGCTCGTGGGCGGCGCCGGCGGAGTGGGCGTAAAGGGCGTCGCGCTCTCGCGCGCCCCACGAGCCCACAGAGCTTCTTCTCTGGAGCTCTCGGAGGTTCCCAGGCGCTTGGACAACATAAACGGCGATCCTCCTCCTCCTCCTCCTCCTCCTCTTCCTCCTCCTCCTCCTCCTCCTCCTCCGCCTCCGCCTCCTCCTCCTCCTCCCCCTGCTCCTCCTCCTCCTCCTCCTCCTCCTCCTCCTCCGTTCGTGCGTCGGCGGCGAGGCAGGGGTCGTGTGCGCTAGCGGAAAGGCCCAAACGGAGGCGCCGCTGGAGCGGATTGTGCCCCCATGCGGGAGGGGGAGGAGGCGGAGGACGCGGACGAAAGCGGGGGCGGAGGGAGCGAGCCGCTCAGGGGGACGGGTCACGCCCCGAGCGCGCGGCGCGGCCAGCCCAGCCGGCGGGCCCGCGGCGGCTGCTGCACGATTCGGAAAAAAACAGGCGCACTCTCGAGGCCGCGATCCCTCGCAAAAGACGTGTGCAGGATGCTCCCGAAGCCGCGCTCCCTGACAAGCAAAAATACGATCCGCGCTCCTGGGGCTGCGATCTCAGGAGACCAAGAAAAATATAGGAGCACCGCCCTCGAGGCCACGAGCCTTTGCAGAGGCAAAAGGACGTGCGTCGCCGAGAGCGCAATCCCTCGTGAAAGACGCCACCAGGAGGGCCTCGGAGAGCCTTGCCAGCCTGGAGCCCATGATTGGCACCACCTGATCCCGATGCGGATCTTCCGGACTCCCTCAGTTTCTGCGGGCGCACCCCTAAGATTGTCATCACCTTTGGGCCTGTCAATCTCAGGGACAGGGGTGAATAAGATCAAGGTTGGCCAGAGCCCAAGATTCGGTCGGAATCTTCGAGGGCGCCTTGGAGATGTCGCGAGCGCGCCGCAGCGCCTCGGGAGCGCCTGGGAGTGCCTGGGAGCCCCCCAGAGAGCCTGAGAGCCCCCTCGCCATCGCTCGGACGTCCATTCCCCGTGCACTTGTCGGATTCGTGCGTGTGTGTTTTTCGCAGGTGGGTCCAAGATGCTCCTCGAGGGTCCTCGTCGAGAAAGAATGCACACGCCCTAGCGTTGCCAAGTCCCTCGGAATCAAAGCGCAATGCCGCCGATCCCCCCCTGGACCTCTCCCAAAAGGTGCGCTCCGACCCGGACCTCCAGGAACAAAAAAAGCCGGCCGTGACGGCGGGGGGGCTTTCCATATCAACCCTGGGATCCGACCTTTGCGAGAGAGATGTGCAGCATCGCGGCAGAATCGATACCAGAGCTCTCCTTGGGCAACTCTAAGGGGGGGGGGTTTAGGCTCGGGGTGGGGAAAATCGAGCTGGAATCGGCGATGCATCGTCGGTTGGGGCCATCCCGCCCAGAAACGTGCGGATTCGCGATCGGGGACCCAGTCGCCGATCTGCCGGCGGTGTATCGCCGATTCAGCTCGAAGTTTCCCCCCTGTCGTAGCCCCTGGGTTCTAGACCCTATCCTTTCACGACAGCATGGGAGCAGTGTGTATTTCAACGCATCTAAGCACTGATGGTAGCTACCAAGAGTGCGAAGACGGGCGCCCATACAGCACGACACCCCAGCCTCGGACCGCACTGACACCGGCCTCCGTGAACAAAATCACAATCCTTGCTCGTCGCTGCAGCGCTGCCCGCGTCGGGGGCTAGACCCTATCTTCTGCTGCATTTTTCGAGCCCGGGCGAAAACGCCCGCCGTGAGGAAAAAGTGCAGCACCAGGGCCTCTCAGGGCAGGACGCGCATCGGCACCGGGAATCCTCGGCCCCTCCTTTCTGAAGGGGCGGGAGGACCGATGGTGGCGGAGAACCGAGTCGAGCGAGGAGGGAAGAAGAAGGAGGAGGAGGAGAAGGACAAGAAGAAGGAAGAAAGGAAGAGGAGGAGGAGGAGAACAGGAGGAGGACGAGAATGAGGAGGAGGAGGATGCGCACAGAAGAGAAGGAAGAGGATGAGGATGAGGATAAGGATTTGCTCATATCCACGCACCTGCCAAGCGCTACAACAGGGAGGACGGCGCCTCTTCCCTGAGGTTTGTGACTGCTCTTTTGGGTGGCGCCCGAGATCTTTGTTCACCTTCTGCCACTTCCGCCACCCAGGAGCCAGGAGGGAAAGGGGATAATGATGATGATGATGATGATGATGATGATTGTGATGGTGATGGTATTGAGGATGGTGATGATGATGATGGCCATGATGATGATGATTGTCTCCCCACCGACGTTATTTCCAGATGACAAGGTGCCCCCCTTTCTCCGTCAGCACGGTCTCGGTCCCAGTGCGATCTCTGATCGCGCAGCACACACACACACACACACTTGCACTCGTAGGAGTAGAGGAAGGGAGGTGTGGGTCTCGGAATAGGATGGATAGTGAGCGACAGAGGGTTAACATC